CATGAAAGTGGTCTTGAATCCTCAAAAACTATGAAACTTGGTAAGATTTCAACTTTTTAAGTTTTTTTTTTTTTTTTTTTAAGATTATAACAATTTTATTTAATTCTTCATGATATTCAACTTTTTAACCCTTATACACATTTTTTCTTTTTGTCTTCTTCATAGATGAGTGGTGGAAATATTTTGGAGATAGTGCTCCAAATCTTAAAAAATTAGCAATACAACTCTTGAGTCAAATATCATCTTCTTGAGGGTGTAAAAGAAATTGGAGCATATTTGAAAGAATACACACCAAGAAGAGAAATAGATTGGAGCACCAAAGGTTGAATGATCTTGTTTATGTGCTTTATAATTTGCATTTGAAACATCGATACTTTATCTAATTTATATAATAATTGTACTATATTTATAAAGTTTCATTTCTTATTATTCATATATTCTTATATTTTTTATGGAAATTTTATTTTTATCTTGAATAATAGGAATGATAACAAAAGGAAGACTTGCTTTGATCTTATTGATTATGAAAGCAAAGACAATGTTGAGGAATGGGTCATGGAAGAAGATGATTCTCTAATTCTTGATTATGATGAATTGGAGAATATGATCTATAATGATAAAATAATGTCAATATGTCATACAACTCAAAAAGAAGGTCAGTGACTAATCAATGCTTCTCTTCATAGTGTTTTGATTTTAAATTTATTATGTCATTCTATGATTTATTTTGTTGATTTTTATTTATTACATGTTTTTGCTTTTCAACTTTTAAGGTGGCACACTTGATATTGATGAAGTGCAAGGTGGCGAAAAAGGATCATTCTCTATTGGTAGTTTAAGTGGGGGAATTGACTTAGAGTCAATTGGTGAAGAAAATGATGATAGTTATGACCGTGAAAATAATTTTTGTGAACATGATTTGGTTTAATGAATATCCTCCTTATCTAGGGGATAAACAATAAATAATTTTAATTTATGCATCATTTGCATATTAATTTGAGTTTTTGGATTTGTTTTTCATATATATATGTGTGTGTGTGTGAGAGAGAGAGACTTGTTAATTTTGATACTTGTGGTTGTATGACACTTTTTTTTGTCTCTATTTACTTGCTTTTAAAACTTATTTTTCATATATATTTGGTTTTGGACTTGTTTTTAATATTATTATATGAATTTATATATTTATTAAGTTTAATTTAAACTGAAAATTGCTATACAAGGCTAGAAATTGCAAGGAAAAATTTGTAAAAGACAGCAACAGAATGATACCAAAAAAGTCGAGAACCGAGAATTGCATTTTATGACCTTTCTCATTTGACCGACCAGCTGGCCAGTTGAACTGGTCAGACCATCTAAACCGAGAACTGGTGAGCCAACCATTTATATTACTGGTTCGGATTTCAAAACCATGGTGTAGTTAGTAACTATTAATAAAATTAAAAGAGAAAACTTTAGTGCTATGTTAAAAATTGAAATTAACAATCTCAATTATCTTCTTTTAAAAAATGTTACAAGTAAAATAGACTGATAGAAGTTTAAGATTTTGTATAACCTGTTATGAATTATGATTATATATTAACAAGTTGTCATTAATTTTTTGGAGCAAGATGTAGTTTCGGAGTGGCATTAGGGGGAGCAAGAAAGGCATTCAGTCATTGTCAAGTGTCAACAAAGATGAATTTTCAACAAGGGAACCAAAAGACTCAAAATTCTCCGTCTTCCCTTATCTAGATGGAATTTTCCAACAAGGGAACTAAAGACTCAAAAGTCTCCGTCTTCTCTTGTCTTAGATGGAATTTTCTAACCCCTGCACACCGGCACAGGTTTGCGAGCATTATAAATATAGTATCAAAACCTAATTAAAGTGGTATCTTTTATA